CACTCATTTTGCAGGCCTTGGCCAGCCAGCCTTCCGCTAATGCAAAAACATGGGCCCATTTGCCTGGGGAAGAGAGCACATGAGGCCTGAGCTAGAAGGTGAGAAATGGCGAGGCGGTGTGTGCGTGTGTAGGGGTGAGAGATTACTTCAGAACACACAAAAGGAGCACAGAATGAGGGCAGACGTTCCAGTCACCGAGGGCTGGCCCGGGGGAGCGGGCCAAGGCCAGCCGCGCGCCTGTCGCCCCCTCCTCCCGGCGGGCCTGGCCACGAGGCCGCTTTGATGTGAGGCTGCTCGAGAAGAGCTGGGGGCCGCGCGCCGAGGGGTGCGAGCTCTTCTGTACCGGGGAGAGAGTTTCTCACAAATTCATAGGAAAGCTAGAACTGGGCGCGAGGGAAAAAGTCACAAAGAAATGTTTTGCCACCATGTAAAATGGCGGCATTAAAACAACTCTCTGGTGGTGGTGGTGGTGGTGGTGGCCCAGACGAGAGAGCTAAGGGCTGCTCCGGGTCAGCGCGGCCCCCAGAGCTCTGCGGTCGAGAGGGAAAGTGACCCCCAAACCCACAAGGTCCCCGGGCCGACCCATCGCCCGCAACCCTTCGCTCAGCCGTCCCCAGCCTTCCCTCAGAGCCCGCCAGGCCCAACGCACTGCCAGCAGCCCCTGGACACTGACCCCTGTTTACAAACACAGCCTGGGGGCGGGGTGGGGCTGGCCGGAGCTCTGACTGGCGGGGTGGGGGGAGGTTGCTCACTCGGGAGAACGCCACCAGCAGAGAGGAACAAGGAGTTGGTGCGAGAGAGCTGGCTCGGCAGCTGGAAAGGACTGAACGCCTTGTTTTTGAAACTGTCAATTCCCTCAACCCCTATTGTGAGGGCTTCATGCAAAACATCTCGGGCCTTTTAAAGTAGGAGCTTGTGAGGCCGCCAGAGTTTGAAAAGGAGCGAGAGAGGAGCGGGGGGCCTAGGGCATGGGCAAAGAATGATAGTTGGGTCCCCCTCCTTTATTTTTTTAAGCAAAAGAGGGCCTGGCAAACAGGTAAAATGCAGCCCTCTCCCAAGTCCTAGATCTGCCTTATCCTCCCCCCCAAGTTAGTTTGCAAAATGCCCTTTGGCCTAGGGTGCAAACCAAAACCAAACCTAGCATTAAAAATAGTTCTTCCTATTAGAGAGGGGAAAAATCTTGAGGATAACTTGGATGACTGGGTGGACTCCCGATGAGGTAGACTCCCTATTACTCCGTGCCAATTTCCTGAAGTTAGTTGAGGAGGAGGCTTTAATTTTTGTTTTTTTCCTTAGTTTGGAGGTAATCCCTTCTTGGCTCTGGGAACTCCCTCTTTACACATCTTTTTCAGCAGGCAATTATATTGAAGGTGAAGTAAAACTCACCACGTTTTCTGTGTTTTGTAGATGCTAATTGAGATATAGATATATCTATCTATCTATCTATCTATTTTTAAACAATGGGTATATTTTTTTTCTTTGAAAGAAAATAAATACTTTTGAGGAATAGTTTCCACAGCTTTTCCTGCATGCAAACAAAACTATTACATTCCTCTGCACAAACTTCCAATTCTTGTTGAGTAGAACCTTGAAGGATTTCTAGACCATTGAAAGTCACCCACATAAGGGTAAGATAAAAATCGACATACCAGCCCATCTAGTTTGTATTATTGCTGTTTAGTGTTGACTCCTTGTTGCTTTTAAAATAAACAGCCATTATTGAGATTACTCCACTGTAATCAAGCAAGCCAGTAGAAAAGAACACCTACTTTAAAAAGTAAAAAGAACAAGTTGCAGTTTCTTTGAAGGCAGATAACCTGACTCTGGAAGACAGAGTATAAATATCTCTTTAAAAAAAAAAAAAGAAATCTTCATTTCACATTCTTATCAGGAAATTTCTTTCACAAGAGACCAAAAATGTTTGTTTCCCAAAAAAGTCAGAGTCCTTTCCTACATTTCCTTCATGTCTGTGAGTGAATCAGTGACCCTGGAGCTATATAGTATATATATATATATATTTTAAAATTGTGTTCCCTGAAAAAATTTAAGTATAAAAATGCAGTCTAGCAAAGGAGGTAACTTTCTTTTATCCCTCAATAAGGCTTAACTTTTTGAACAAATGGCACTTGTATAGTAGCTTAGAAAAGCTACATATTGTCATTAATCATAAAAAATAAATAAATAAACTGTACGGAGAATAATTCCCACAGCAGAATGGGAAAACAGCTAAGGTGCTACTTGGAGTTGAAAGAATACCTTGTATTTGCAAGTTACTGCATACTGTTTGGTACACTTTCTTAACAGAAGCCCCAACTCAGGTTTTGCTGTGGTTGGCTGGCTTGTAGTTGTACTGTGGGGTGAAATTTGTGTTGACTATTTAATTTCTTTCCTTTTGATGGTATCACTCTGGAATGCCTCAGCCTCCATGCTGCTCATTCTCCAGCTCCTAAACTGAAACTATTGATTCTCTTAGGGCTGGAGACCAAGTGTTAAAGCTGGAGGCCCATATTTTATGTCAGAAATTCCATAGGGTATATTTGTTTTAAATTATGCTTATTCCATCTCTCAGTCTTCCCACACCCATGAGCTGTAGACTTCAAAAATATTCTCAATTTATAATTTAGGAACAATAATTCCATAGCCAACAAGAAATGTACTAGTTGACATGTAACCATACTTTGAACTTTCTTGATTTAGCAATAATTAAAGAGTAGAAATTACAGATTTTTAGTATGTGTATATCACACTTTTTACAGATTGATTTTTTTCAGGACAACTCACTGCACTCAAATTCTATATTGTCTTTCAAATAAAGAATTAAGACTGAAAAAACAATTGTTCAGTTTTCTGGGGCTTTAACTATAACATGTCTTTGGAATTATAAACATGAATTTGAGGATAACATCCTCAAATTTTCTTTAACCATATCCACCAATCCAAAAAAAAAAAAAAAAAGGGATCCAGTGAACCTACATCTGGCAACATTCAAGAAAAAAAGGAAGGGAAGTAGTTCAAAGCATCTGTTTACTCCGTCCAATTGTATTTGGATGCAGGTATTCTCAGCCTCTATCCTTTACAATAAGAAGAAAACCACAGAGCATATACAGCAATTAGGGCTGAGACCATCCAGATCTTTCTGAAACATTTATAGACAAAAGAAAGTTTCAAAGGGAATAGGAATTAAAAGGTTGGGGGGGGGGAACCCCAGACTGAATTTCTATGAGAAACAGTGACTTAAATTCACACAGTAAACATTTCATTGGTGTTTTGTTTTGCTTTGTGATTTATGATCTATAGATGCAACTTCTTAGGTTTAAGATGGCAAGGATCTGAGATACATAATTTATCAGATTAAGGGGGGGTGGGACAACAATTACTAGATTCAAGTTTCATTAAAATAACTGATCTCTGCTTCAATTTCTTAAACCTAAAACATTTTGTACTTACTTTGTGACAAGTTTGTAAAGTTTTTTTGTTGTTATTTAGGAAGAAATCCACCAGTGTTTTGCACAGAATCTCACTGGCCTCATCACACCTTATTACAACAAAATACTACACCCATAAATACATTTCTTTCAAGCAAAACATTATAAGCGAAAATGTCAACAAAATGATTAATTCCTGTTAGTCATTCTTCAATCTGGAATAAGTAGAAATGTATAGAACCAGAAATTTTAAACAGTGTTTTTAATTGAAAATAAAGCTAAAGCATGCTTTTCAACAGTGCACATTTCCATAATTTTGATTTACTGCTTCCATCATCACAACATAGTACACCAGCATGGCCCTTACCAAGGGCTAGACCCTAGCCATCTGCATGTTGAACTAGTTTAAGTGCAAATATATTCACCTCTGATTGTCACTTGCAGTAGGAACTCTCCTGCTCTATACACAGGATGGTCTGAAAACAGAACTTTAGAGATGGAGAAAAAGTGAAAGGTGATAAAATCCAAATGCCTGAGTTCTGGTACAAAAAGCCCTGAAATCACGGTTATTTTTCATTGAGGGTATTCTTATTATGCTGACTCCTCATTTTATTTTTCGTGGTTGTATTTACTGCTTTACCACTATGAACACTTAGACCATAAAATATCCTGCTATTAAGAGAAACATTTTAATTATTTTGCAAAGTTGAGGCATTGTGTTCAGACCAAAAGGTAAGCAGGACAATTGTGAATAAGAATTACCTTATTTAAAACCTTTGGGTTAGAACACAAAAAGGACTTTTCCAATTGCAAGGAGTGGCTGTAAAAGTAAAATGACTACCAAAAAAATAAAAGCAAGTCCATATTTATTTTACTCAGTATATACGAGGCAGCTTTTACCAGCATGCAAGCAGGACTTACACCCCAATCTTTCCACTCCAAAAAAGAAAAAAAAAGAAAAAAAGTTAAGTGCAACTACTCTTGGAGAGAGGATAAGGGGAGTAAAAAGTAAGATACCCCACAAACAGAGCACCAGAAAAGAATAATTTGGGCTCACATAAGCTTCTTGCTACCTCATTGTATAACCATGAAACTTAACAAACTTCCACTGAATTAACAATTAGACTTTCAGGTCTGAAATCTAGTGCATAAACTTAATGGCTCATTGTAGTATTTATGATTCAACTTTTTGACATTTATTTGTAGCAGTTGAATTGAGGTCCAAACCAAACCCGTTGCTGTCGAGTCGATTCTGACTCATGCATTATTAGCAATGAAACAGTAAAGTGTTCCAGCTCTACCATAATAACTGAGTTTTACTTGAGTCTTTAGCCTGAAGTAGTCTGTGGAATGTAAACCAACCCTTCTCCCACCCCGCCCCCACTCTACTTAAAAAAAAAAAAAAAAAAAAAAAACTCAATGGAAAAAAAAAAAATCCGATTTCTGTCTTCAAAATGTGATAAACCAGGACTCCAAAAGGGGTGTAACACATTAATGGACTTGTACAAACCATCCTGTGCAGTTTAAAACAAAAGGAAGGTAATATGGTTCAAGAAAAGATCTTCCAAAACATTTTTATGAATTAAATTTCCTGAATTTGTGACTAGGTGGAAGAGGTATTGCAGAACCGCCCAGCTGCCATTTCCATATAGGATGGGCCTTGTGAGGAGGTTGGGAATCCTTAGTGGTGTTTAAGGAATACGCCGGCCACAAATCCCCATCCTTCCCAATAATGAGTGATGGTGGACAAGGAAAATTTGCCATGAAATTAAATGGCCTTTTCACTGCTGATGCTACATTGCTGGCTACCTTTTTGCGTCTATTTATAACTGTAAAATCATCCAGTGTTCCTTCATGTGTCTCGGTTTTACCTGTAGGACGAGGGCTTCTAGCTGATTTCAAATTTGGTTTGACTGGAGGTGTCTGAAGTATAGGTCGCTTTCCCAGTACTAGTGTCCGGTAATTTTTTCTCACCTTGGCACCAAATTTATATTCCCCATCCTCAGGTTTTGGAGAACCTAAAGTGCATGAATGGCCCTGACTCTGAGCCAGATGATTTAAGGAAGGAGTTTCTTTATCAGGGCATGCAAAACCTTCCTTGGCTGTAGTTAACAAGGTGTCTTCCTCCTTACTTTCAGTCACACTGTAATATTCACCCTTTGTATCATTGCACTCGCACTTTAGCTTATTTGTAATAAGGTCAGGTTCATATTCTTCATTAGCACTACTATCTTCTACTTTGATTTTAATATTGTGCAGAAATGGCAATGTCTTGTCGCCTGTGTCAGTGCACGGATTCTCGGCTTTAGTTGTTGCTGCATCCACCTCAGGATCCGTTTGCAAAGAGGGCAAATCCGCAGCAAATTCAGTACAATGAAGGATTTTGGAATCTTTTTCTGAGTTTGCTGAAGATCCTGAAGAATCATTATTTAAGAACCTAGCAGCTATTGTGTTGTTATCTGCACAGTGTGTAGTAGGAGTTGCTTGTAGGCATTTCCTAGCCTCTCCGAGTATTCTTTGTTGTGGAAATGCATTGTTTGTCTTTGGGCTAGGTGAAGAGGCTCCCTCCGCCAGGCAGTTAATTGTCAGGTCAGTTCTCCTTACAGTACTGGAAATTTCAGAGTGTGGGAATGTAATCTCAGATACCCTATCGTTCCTTATCTCTGCGAAACAACTCCCCAGGCTGGCTGGGCAGTACACCGGAGACGCTTTGGAGGCCCAGCTCTGCAGATTCCATTCCTCTGGCGATTCCGCTTTGACACTACTCTTGAGGTCGGGAAGTCTGCCTGCATCCTCGAAAGCAGTGGGTTTGGTTGCAACGGCGGCGGAGGCCAGATGGTACAAGAAGTTGGCCTGCGCCTGCACACTGGGAGGCTTGCAGAAGCTGGTGCGCCTGAAACGGATGCTCTGCACTGACACTTGGCTGGATCCAGAGCTGGAGTCCGATTCCGAGGACGAGTCCTCCTCCTCTGAGCTAACTTCACTAGAGTCCGAGGCCCCACTGCCCCCCTCCTCCTCTTCCTCCTCCTCCTCTTCCTCCTCCTCTCCTTCCTCCTCCTCTTCCTCTTCCTCAGAAGACACAGAGTTGCTGGAACTGGACAAACTGGAGCCAAAATCCGAGTCGTTGGCGGCATGGTCCGAGTAGGAGCTGGACTCGGAGTCACTGCTACAACTCTCGGGAAAGCTGCCCAGATGGGGCTGTGGCCGGTGGTGATGAGGGAGGTGGTGATTCTGCGGCGGCTGCTGGGCCCGGTGGTGATGGTGGTGGTGGTGGTGGTGGTGGTGGTGGTGGTGGTGGTGGTGGTGAGGAGGGGGGCAGAAGCCGTTGACCAGATGAAACCTTTCCAAGCAAGTGGCCCCGGCGGCCGCCTCTGCTGCCGCCGCCGCCTTGGCTTTGTAGGACCTGGGTAGCAGCAGCAGACGCCGGGCGCCGGCGTGGGGCGCAAGCAGGCAGTCCTTGGCGACCCCGCGCTTGCGCTTGCACCGGTAGGTCAGGCTTACCGGCCCTCCAGCACCGGCCGCCGACTTGGGCTGGGGCCCGGCCGCTGATGCCTGGTAGTAGGCGGCTGCTGCTGCCGCGGCGGCGGCGG